GCTTTGCGGCCGGTTTTAGGGAGGGGGGGCCTTGCCCCGGGAAGGTCGGTGTCCCCCCGCAAGCCGTTTGTCAGGCTGCGGCAGTTTGTGCTCATTAGCTCGTACAGGGGATTATGGCATGAGCTTATAGCATAGCACCCGAGCGGGTCCTTCGCTTGCTGCATGTAATACCCTGGTGTGCTAGAAAGTGGTTAGAGGCCTTTAATGCTTTCCCATAGCTAAATATTTTCCCTTAGGAAGCTGGACATTTAAATCAACGTCTGGCCAGTCAGAACATAAGAGTAGGAGGCCCAAAGTTAAATTCCTGCAATTGACAGTTAAGAGATGAGAAACATAAGTTAATATCTCAGAAAATGATAGCACTAAAAAGTTGATGGTTAACAGTTTTGTAGGTGGTCCTATGCATGAGTTTATCTCAGTAGCAACTCCAGTTGAACTTCCTTTTCTTCCTCAAGAAGGACCTGAGGGACTCACGGGATAATTTGGGCAACAGCCTGAGAGGGGGACTGGAATAGACCTGTAGCTCCATGAAAAGGTGCCTGAGGAGATGTGTATAGGTCTCCTTTTGTGGTTATTGGAATAAAAAACGTTTGAGAACACGGTAGCCCGTGATCTTGCCCAGCCTGCAGACATTCACTCATGAGAAGTATTAAAGCATGTTGCCGTAGACTAATTTAGGGTCGCTTTCTATGGCGACTATGAATAAATCTGTCCTTCGGTATCAGCTGATGAGACGTGGGACTCCAAGCGATTTTAACTTTAAAATATGGATGTCATGAAATGAAGGCTTCAATTTATTCCATTTCATTATTTCTAGGGACTTACCAACATCAAGCTCAAAGCAGAATAGTTCTTACTATTAACATATTCTGCCTGCTTGGGCTTACTCCTTCCTCCCCTCCGTCCTGCTGTGGGCTCCAGAACAGCCTCTGTAATGGTTGGTCGGGGGGGCCGCTCTGTCTTCTGTGGTACAGTGGTTCTGGTTAGAGTCCATTAAGAAGTTTTATTTCATGGTCAGTGAAACAGACACACCTCCGATTCAGATCAGCTTCTAAACAAGCTGCTTCTCAGTTATCCGGAATTATTTCTACCCTTTCCAAGCAAGATCATCATCAAGTCATGGAATAAACCAGGTTGGAAAAGACCATCAAGTGCAACTGTTACCCCAGGACTGCCAAGACCACCACTAAACCATGTCCCTAAGGGCCTCATACCTTTCCCTAGTGTACTGGGAAAAGAGAAGGGAAAGCTGCTGGACTCTTTACAGCGAGAAAGAGAGACTGTGTTTCTCTTGGGAAGTGCCTAATCTTGAGCACAGTGATGCACTTTGATTGTCACGCAGAGGGTCTCGGTTTAGGGATCGAGGGAATCGATTATCCCTCTCTGGAGCAATGATCTCTCTTTAGAAGGTTGAGGGGCATTTACTGGCAGTAAGAAGATTTAGGGAACCTCTGTAAATTTCCATGTAGTGTGAGTCAGGCTTATGCAATGGCCAGTGCCTCCTGTTTCTTTCTACCTGAGAAACTGGCGGAACAAAGGAGAGAAATCACTTGCAGTAAATGATCTTCCAAGGTACCGCTTGTGCTACAGATTGGCATTGGACAAGTCCCGGAGCTACTGAGAAAAAGGGCTAAAGAAGTGCTAACTGCAATGCCAGGGTTGATAAGCAGCACAGTTAAAGACATTTGAAATTTCAATTGCAGGTGTCTGTATTATTGGCTTTTCCTTTCTACAAATGTACTGTGCTGATTCCATTGCTCTATTTTGTGAGGACAGAGTTCTTTTAATTCTAAAAGCATTTATTCTTTGGGCTGAGCAAGCAAATTAGCAACATTTTTATTAACTGGCAGTAGTTTGTGATTCTTCAAAAATACCCTTTGAGTGCTGGTAATTGGTATGTAAGGAATTTATTTTGGAACTGCAGTTACTTAGGCCAAGACCTTGCACTTGGACTCATGAATGAGTGTAATGGTTTTCTATCTATCTGCTGATTGTTTGCTTTTTCTCTCTCCCTCTTTCTGGGGGCTTGATTAATTTCTCATGGCTCGATTAATCTCCTTTATTGTGGCCATAAAACTGAAGTGAAATCCATGAATAATGTACTTAAGGCAAGAGGGCTTTTTAGTTTTATTCACATGTTCCAAGGTGTTAACTGAAACATCATTTGAACATAGAACTTGATAACAGCTCTGAGCACCAGAAGATAAAGACAAAGGAATAAACAGATATTGCTGAGGACTGGGGGAGAAAGATGAGAGTTGTCTCAGGTTTGCTTACAAGCTCTTGTCTGCGACAGAGAGAACTCAGACTTAACACTGGTTCTGTTTGAGGGGTCCTAGCAAAGATTTTCGGCTTTAACAGGAAAATGATGAGCTTGTCTCCCAGGATATCCTGGTCCCCTGGTTTATCGTGATCCAGTGCTGCTTCAGGCATTTCTTTCCATCAGGTGATCAAACAGTGTTCCAGAACCTTAAGGGAAGTGATGATTACTTGATTTAGGAGCTCTGACTGAAGACAATCCAAGGTCTCCATTCAAAGTACTCCTTAATGCCACTTAACTCGGAGAAGATGCTGACTGCAGCTTGCTTTGCTTGGCACTTAACTTCATCCCCTTTTTGTTCAGAGCCTGAGAACAGAGAGCAGTTTGTACAGGCTTTCCACCCTTCTTCCCATGTTGTCCTGCAGCTGTGGAAGGAGGAGGAGGAGGACTTGGAAGCATCCCTTTGGCAGTGTGAGGTTAGCTGTTGGTGTGGACACTGGCTGAGGGATGATATCCCTATGTCACCCCTTGTTTGGGTGCCCAGGGTGGGGAGGAACAGCAGGAGGTAAAAGGGAACAGAGAAACTAAGACAAAGGTTGGGGACTGCAAGAGCTGTCAGGGAGATCCCCCAGAGGGGAGGAGGAGATGCAGAAGACAATAGAGGCAGTTAAGTGTCTTCACCCTCTTGGGTTTGGTAGTATGCGTAAGATTTATAGTGCTTTTCTACCATTTGAATTTATCCCTAGATAGTTTTAAAGCTTTTTTTTTTTTTTCTTTTTTTAATCCTGTTATAAAAAAATTTCCTGTGGGCAAAACTGAAACAAAAGCAAATGTTGCTTTTCCAGATTATGTCATTTAAAAAGTCACTCTAAATGGGTGTGAAAGTTGGATTAATTCTCTGTGCACCAGCACCATCTTCCATCAGAGATGTCATATATAGATGAAGAACAAATCACGCTCATTCACTGATTTAAGCAGAATTCCCATCCTTCAAACGACTTCAAAGCCAGGACGTGGGAAGTGACTTGTCCAACGTATAGTGGCTAATCTTGAAGGGGATTGAGGCAGTCTTATTTCTAAGCCTCTGCTTTAATTGCTGGGTTTGACATTACCTCTGTTCCCCCCAAACCCTCATTTTCAGTTTCCTTTCTTTTCGGCTTCTTCCATCTATACAGCAGTATAGAGATCATTAGCTTGATACTTCCACTCAAGAGGTCTGAATACAAACTTACATGAATATGATTACTATGGGCTGTACTATACAGATAGCCATTCTGTCTAAATCAGGATAGATACCATTAACAAATAACCTACCTGCAGCAGATTTCCTGTTTGGGGTTATCTGTTTTTCTGTAGACATGGTCTGATTTCCTGCACCACATTGACTCTTGCTTAATGAATTGCATTTAAAAGAAATTTGGTTTAAGTTGTTAATACGTCCTCCACATAAATACATGGGGAGAGGGAGAAATTTCCTGCTTTATGTATGTCATCTGCCACCTTAGAACAACCTTACGCAAGTTCACCTGGTAATTATATTAAACCTCATATTATATTAAAAACATATTAAACCTCACTCTTTAGTGTCCATATCAGCTGAATCCTCAACTTGTTTAGAAATCTGCTTCTGTTATGAAGTTATGTTTTCCTGGGCTGAAATTAAGAAATTTAATGACATTAAATTACCAAAAGTACATGCTTAGCCTGAATGTGTGGAAAATACATTATTATTATCAATCATGGCCTATATTTTAACATGATTCAAATATTACCTTGTAAAGGTTCATCTTTCTCTTTAAGGTGTAAGTTAGTTTGTGCTGTGCCACTAACTCCAAAATGTGTGTGTGTGTGTCTGTTTTTTCCCCACAGTTTTTGATGATGAAGAAGAAAGCAAATTGTCTTACACGGAAATTTATCAGGAGTACCAAGCACTGGTGAGTCTTGTTCACTGTCTGTGGCAGATTTCTAAGAAATGTAATTTAAAATGTTAAAGTAGGATTTAGACGAACTTCTGATGGGGTTATCTTTGTGATTTAGAGTATTCTAATGTTGCCTGTTATGTTACTCAGGAGTCCTTTCAGTCAGAGCTGTCATGCTTGAACACCAGATATGTAGAAAGGAAACTAACACACAGTCATATCCCTTATGCTGTGTTACCTGTTTTTCATTAAAATTAACATTTCCACTAGCTAAATACTGTACTTAAAGCTTGATAATGTTCATCTTTTCTGTCAAGTTAAAATAACCAACAGCAAAATGTCTGACATGTATAACTTGTGTTTTGTTCACTAATGAGTCTCATAAATCTTTTGAATTAACTTGCAATTATTGGAAAAAACTCCAGGAGATTTTTGGAGCATGTTTAAATAACTTCTAAACCAACGCACACAACTTTCTAAACAAGGCTTGGTAATACTTGATGTTAAAAGCGTCAATTGAATAAATACAGACTAAAAGCCATTTTTGCCCTGACCCTGAAGGGTTTCAGGCACACAGACTGGCAAAAAGCTGTTTACCTGCAGGGCAAAAAAATCGTAGAGTCGTAGAATGGTTTGGGTTGAAGGGACCTTAAGGCTTCTCCAGCTCCAACCCCCTGCCACGGGCAGGGACACCTTCCACTAGAGCAGGTTGCTCCAAGCCCCTGTGTCCAACCTGGCCTTGAACACTGCCAGGGATGGGGCAGCCACAGCTTCTCTGGGCACCCTGTGCCAGCGCCTCAGCACCCTCATAGTGACAAGTTGGGGTGGTGAGACACTGGTACAATACTAGCCAGGAGTCTGTGGAAAAGGTAGAGAAATGAGATTCTTGGGAACTGGAGAAACTAAAATCAGTAGTGATCAAATTTAGCAATAAAAATGCTTAGTTTGAACAGGTCATGAAAGTAAATAAAGGCTGATGTCAAAAAGAGCAGTTATACTATTGCAATGATTTTTTTTAGAGTTTAGAAAATATAGTGTCAGCAGAAAAGGGTATACAACTATGAAAAAATTCCTGATTCTTAGGGAAAAACCCCTTAGTAAGTAAGGCTTAAACTTTCTTACAGGTTGAAAAATTATTAGAAGACTATCTTAAAGAAGTTGGAATTAATGAAGAGAAATTTCAAGAAGCTTTTTCATCTCCTCTTGCAAAGACACACACTTCACAGGTATCTCCCTTTGTTAAGGAACGTACAGCTTTCATTTTTCACTTTATACTTTCACTAGTGTAGCAGGGTGGAGATGAAACTGCAAAGTTTTCTTGTTAAGAGTGTAATTTTATAAAAGATAATGTGTTTGTATTTGAACTTTGAAACTAAGGACAGATATTTGTGTGTCAGACACCTTTTAAGGTTCATCTTCTATGCTTTGTATTTTCTAAACCGGATCTCTCAGCTTAGGGTGTTTCTGTCACTTCTACTTGCAGCCACTTCTACTTGTCAGCTTTATGTTAGTCTTCAGCCCATTTACAGCAGCAAACTTAAAAAATAGACATATTCTGTAAAATAAAAGATGTTTTCCTCTGATTTTATAATAAACCTGTAAAACCTGTAAGACAAACATTGGCCTTGAGAAGACAAGACATGGTTGGGCAGCCCTTCCCCTGCTCAAAGATGTCTTTCAGAATTGCCTCAGGTATTTTGGGCAGAGGAGCAGGAGCTTCTGGTGCCAGTTCAGACTGGGCTCTGTTGACATACCTCCTCCTCGGTGTGTAACCAGCTTCCTCAGAGCACACGTTCCTCCCTCCAGCTTGGGCATTTATTCAGGAAGTCCATGAATTGCAGTTGGAAACTTACACTGGGAATCCCTCCAGGTTTTGTGCTAATATTATTGTAGATATGTTGATCTAAAGACATAAGCCATCAAATTCTCTTCTTGACTATCAGCTCAACCTGTCTGGCTGGAAAATAGATAGGAGAATTAAATATAATTATTAAAAACATGCTCCATAGAATTTAAACCTTAACATAACTCCAAGCAGACTGAGTTGGTTATGATTTCTCTGTGGTTTTTAATCCTGTGCATGTTTTCCCACAGGCCATTTTGCAGACAGTGTTGGCAGCAGAAGATTTTAGACTATTTAAAAAAATGATGGTACAGAAAAATATTGAAATGCAATTGCAAGCTCTTCGAATCATCAAAGAAAGAAATGGTAAGAAGTGGTGAATGTGGGCTTTCACTTCATCCTTTTAGTGTTCTGTGGATGACTGAGTAATCCTTTCATAACCAACTCTGGAATACTGGTTCAGTTCCAGTTCGAGTTAATGGAAAACATGCAGCTGGTATTACTGGGATTAGGATTTCAATACTCAGTCCCTGGCCTGTGTTCTCAGTGAGAGCTGCCTATACTCCTTTTTCAATTAACAGATTTTTCAGCTCTGTTTGTCTGAATCTTTCTGTGAAACGTAGCTTTTAAAGAATTTTGGTGATAATTTTGGGTGTTAAAGCAATTACATCAGTTCATCAACAGTGACAATATTCATAGTTTGAATTGTGCTACTTGCATAGCAGTGATGCTGTACAATCTGCTGTGCTTACTTTGCAATTCAGGCTGTACAGTTGCATATGAAAAACCCAGATAGAAAGCAGAAGCTATGGCTTCAGCATGCTAATACATGCTTTTAAAGAAGAGGAATTAATTTACACCCAGCTTTGCTGCTCTGCTGCTGTTTCTGAAAGGATTTTCATTTACCTGCTCCTTTCTTCCACGTCTTTAGTTTTACCATTTTGTTTTGTCTCCTTCCTGCATGATGGTTTTTGAGATTCATTTTTAAATGTCAGCTATCATGTAACAGGTAATTGTGAAGTGGTTCAGTTGGCCACGGCTAATCTGCAGTCTGTAGGAAATGCCATTTAATGGTCAGTGAGGAGTATGGCTTATGCTTTACCCTTGCATGTTTGAACTTCATGGGTTTGCCTTTTAGCTGCTAGCGATGATGCCCAGGATCTAGACTCTTTTTGGAAGCAGTTACAAAGAGGAAGAATTAGATGGGTTTTCTTTCTGCTCTCTGTCAGAAGACTGATTCTAAATGGAGTATAAAGTAATTTTCTTCAGAGAAATGCATAAATTTTGCCATGATTTTTTTGTAGGTGTGTTGCCTGACTGTTTGACAGAGGGTTCTGATGTATTCAGTGAAATTGAACAAGAAGAAATGAAAATACTGAGGGAGGTTCTAAGGTAAGAATGAATCCGTCCTACTTTGTACATTGTTTTAAAATAAAACATGAAGATATGTAGGGCCTAATTCCTGCAGTCTCTCCCAGGAAAGTGCCTTCATCTTACAGGTGACATGAATGTTCTTGGCAAAGTGCTACCTAAGAGAACATGAATGGTGCTCGATGGTGGGTGTCATCAGGAGTATTTAAAGACAGAGAGAGAACTGCTCCACCACGATGAAACTGGTGATGCATGGAATGATGTGCAGCTTTAAGACCCCCACCATTTCCATTCTCCCTGAATCTCCAAGTAGACTTGGACCTGGGTTAGATGCCTTTGGACAAGAGGAGCACGTTAGCTGTAACCCGTTCAGGGAACACGCTAAACATCAAAGCCTTGGGAAGGCAAATGCTCCTTTTGCAGTAGGCTTTATTCCTTTCTATAGCTTCCTTCTTAGTTGTGTTCAATGACTATTGCCCTGATCAAAAAAGATGCATGAGAACTGATGTGACTTCTATGGATTCTCCTCCTCTCCCCATTCACATATATATAAACATAATCTTAAGCAAAAAATAGCAGATGTACCCATTCACGTTATATTAAATCATGGTATTTTCCCTCTGTATTCTGAAAGTACTTCCCTTCTTGACTTCAAATGAGCAAATGACAGGATAGATAAGCTCTGGAAATTCTTACACGATTGTTTGTACACAGGGAAGGACAGACTGAGGATGGTGGGTTCTGTGTGTTTCTATTAAGTATTTGTTTCTATTAAGAGTGCGTTTGAATTTAAATCATGGGAGTATTTTGGATACTAACAATTATTCTGGTTTTGTAATTGTTTTGATAGTCCTCAAATATTTCAGCAGTGCTAAATTTACCTGAAAGTCACTAATACTGAAGAAGTTTTGAGCATTTACTTGTATTTTGTGCTACAGAAAATCTAAGGAAGAATATGAAATAGAGCAAGAAAGAAAGAGGACTGAAGAAGTGAGTATCTTACCTTTCCAGATGGGTCACGTTGACCATTAAGGAATACTCTGATCTGCTGTCCCAGCTGTCAACTGTACCACTTTAAGGCAGTGTGTGCCATCCTAAGCAAACAAAGGGGCTGTCAGGAAGGTCTGACTGGCACTGCTTTTTGAAAGGTCTGGTCTGTTATGTTTTCCTTGATGGTAACATTGACACCATCAACCATCAGCATTTGCTAGAGTTCATATAAAAGCGTATTCCCTCTCCAGTATCTGAATGCTAAAATCCTGCTAACGGATGTCAACCTTTCAGATCCAGAGAGCATCTGAATTACTAATATTGTCAAGATCAAAGAGACTTCAAAGTATAAGCTTCTTAAAGATTACAGCATTCATAATCCTTCAGGAATTTTAAGGATCGCTTTGTAGACAGTGTAGTTATTCATTAAGTCTGCACAGTACTGCCAGAACCTAATCACCAGGAGCCAGAAATCCTCTCCAAGTTAGACCATCACTTGGTCTCCATCAGAAGAAACCATGTAGAAAGGTGAATTCAGAAAACTGAATGTAAACAGGGATGGGCTCAATTGCCGATTGCTCAGCAACAAACTGAAATCGAAATTGGTTTTGACAAGGGCCTGTAGGGACAGGACAAGGGGAATGGCTTGAACCTGCCAGAGGGGAGACTGAGATGAGCTCTGAGGCAGAAGCTCTTCCCTGTGAGGGTGCTGAGGCGCTGGCACAGGGTGCCCAGAGAAGCTGTGGCTGCCCCATCCCTGGCAGTGTTCAAGGCCACGTTGGACACAGGGGCTTGGAGCAACCTGCTCTAGTGGAAGGTGTCCCTGCCGGTGGCAGGGGTTGGAGCTGGATGAGCTTTAAGGTCGAATGTAGCTACTTTGTTATTGACACCGTGTTTCCAGTCCTACTCCCACTTCACAACAGTGGTAGCAATGCTACTGAATGCAAGTCCTGAACACTTGCATATTATAACAAATTAAGCCCCTGTCCCAGTGTCTAAGTGGTGAGAGAACTTTTCTTTCCCATATTACAATGACATTCCAGGAAATGAGTCACATCTTCTACTGGATTTCTTACAAAACTACTGGGAAACTCAAGCTTTGGCTCATTTTAAGAATTGAAGTTGCATTAAGATGCAGGCTTACCCAAATCCATATAGACCAGCCAAGAATATCAATGTTCTTGATAAATAAGCCAGATTACAGAAGGCCCAGTCAAGTTTACCTTGATAGTTATTATTCAATAATATGTTTTTGTTAGAGAATGTTTTAATACAAAATAATTCAATGTTTTGATGGATGCTGGAGGGTCCTGACATGAATTAGATGGTTGATGAACAGTGTAAACATTTTCTGGGCAAATCCCAGTTGTCTTTGCTATTTTGAGAGATGGGTTGTGTTGTCAAGATGTCAATCAATAGTGTCAGAGATTTTCCAGTCCTGTTGTTTCCATTCAGCTGATGATTTCTCTGTTTCTGTGGAAACTTCAACAGAAGTTCCTGCTTCTCCTATTGCACTGTGTTTTTCTGGTGGACAACAGAGGTTTGCTTGAAAGACACAGGCAAAGTTGGCAAAAACCCCAACCCCACATTGTCTATTTGGGAAACAAAAAACCAATTCACCCAATATTCCAAACTCTGATTGTTGTTTAGGGAACAGGCTTTCAACTAAACCAAAAAATACTGGCTTATGATTGTAAGCCAGTGGGAACCTTCCTGTTACTAAACCACAGTAAGTAGTTTGCTTTTGTTCACATTGACAACGCAGTATATAGTGTAAATAACACAATTTGAACTCAAAGGTCTCTTGGGAGCTTTTTTCGGGTTGACAGTTGAAGTGTAGTGCCAGGAAATGTAATGCTTGCTTTTGTCTGTTCTTTAATTCAAGGCACGTGATAAAGCCAAGTCCCCAGCTGTTACCTGCAGTCCTCCAGGAGACGCGAGAGCAGCTGTTAAAGTTAAGGAACCCACTGAGGGAGCTCGCAGTTCGGAAGAAACTCCAAAAATGCCATTAGGTAATTTAATGGCCAAGTGTGATTCTGTGTGCAATAGGGCACTGTTTTCAAGGTGTGGGAGGCTTCACAGGTAGAAACATTTGAAGAACCTGGCTGGATAGGCTGGGAGTAAAGCATCCCTAGTTTTGAGGTTCACCCTGCTCTGAGCAGGGCATTTGCAGTGGGTGACCTGCAGAAATGCCTCCAACCAGAGTTGTTTTATTACTCAGTGATGTTCTAAGTCATCTCCAGCTGGAGGAGCCACAGCTTCTCTGGGCACCCTGGGCCAGCGCCTCAGCACCCTCACAGGGAAGAGCTTCTGCCTCAGAGCTCATCTCAGTCTCCCCTCTGGCAGGTTAAAGCCATTCCCCTTGGCCTGTCCCTCCATCCCTTGTCCAAAGTACCTCTTTTTAGGGGCCTACAATTTTCCCCTTTTTATTACTAGCTTTCAAAACCCAGATATTGTATTTGCACTAGGAGAGAGATTAAATAATCCTTTACACCATAAGGACCTCTACTGTAATGAACTATAAATTATCAAATGTCTGGAATGAATGTAATTCCACATCCAGTGTTCCAATAAGCACTGGCACAAGGTGCCCAGAGGAGCTGTGGCTGCCCCATCCCTGGCAGTGTTCAAGGCCAGGTTGGACACAGGGGCTTGGAGCAACCTGCTCTAGTGGAAGGTGTCCCTGCCCGTGGCAGGGGTTGGAGCTGGAGGAGCTTGAAGGTCCCTTCAGCCCAAACCAGGCTGGGATCCTATAAATGTGATTTTCATTATTTACGTTTCCTGGTTTTGAAGAGGCATTTGGCTGTTGGAAGAAACAGAGATTTACTTATTTGATATATTTCTGTTCTTTCTTATTGCTACTTAGAGGAATCTCAGAAACCCGTGAGGGAAAACTTAAAACCCATCCGTGCGTTACCCAACGGAGCAGAAAGCTCACCTCAGCCATCTGGCACCAAAGGGAAAGGCGACAGTAAGAAAAGGTCAGCTGGAAAATGTCCCGAAAATGCAGCACAAAAAGCTGGGATGAAAGGACCTGTAAGTTCAAAACAAACAAGGAAAAACCCCAAACGCAGAACTAGAAAGCAAAAAGACAGGACTACGTTCTGAATATGTATTTAAGAGTATTAAATTTAAATATCTATTTTCTGTTCTTTTAATCAGGTGGCTTTGGTTTGGGTTGGTTTGTTTTTAACCCAGCACGCAAACACTCTTTTATAGTATTCACCAGTCTAATCTGCATGAAGTCCAGATCATCGTTCTAGTTTTAGAACAGAACCCAGCACTCAGCATTTGTCCTGTGATCATTTCTTGGGAGACAGCTCTGGCTCGAAACCTCAACTTGGAGGTTTTTTCCAGCTAGTGATTTTGGAGGCAAACAGGATGTAACTGCTTCTGTCTCATGTAACATGCATTCCAAAAATTAATGTCAAACGATGTAAAAAACCAATTCCAGAACTCCTCAGAAGTTGAAAAGCAGGAGCTGAAGCAACGCGAGGACTACCTGAAGAAAAAACGAGACATGCTGATGGCTACAAAGAAAGAGTCAAGAAATAATGCACTGTTACCAACAGACTCTGCACAGAAAGAAGAGGAATCACCACCTAAAGAGGTGAACATTCCAACATCTTAACCCTCCTGACCGCTTTCTGAAAACCACAGATGGTTTCAGTGTTGCAGCAGGATAAACAAAACACATGGGGGAAGCAGGGAGGCCGTATTTTCAAGTTACTGGGTTTGCAGCAGTTCATAGGCTAGAAGGTTCAGTGATGAAGTCAGAATTATCTTGCTTCAGTATCATCAAATCCTCAGGGTAATGTACAATTATGAACAGCCAAAATGCTGGTTTCCTCCTAGTCCGTGACCTGCTGTTTGGGTTCCCTCCAATCTCTGGGATTTTATTTTTTCCCCAGCTGAAATGGGAAAAACATTTTTCTTTCATGAAGTCTTATTTTAGGGAGGTAACAAATTTGTTCTGCTCATTTGTTCTGAGAGTTGGAGAAACCCTTGATTTCTGTCCATCAACCACTGGAATAGAAGCCACACGACGATGGCGATAACATTTAGGGAAGACAAAGCACTCTGAAGGGTGGATGCTGCTGTCACCTCCCCAGTTGCCTCCAACTCTGTGACAGTTGGAGGCATAGGACAGGGTGAAAACAGAATCCTGTGACAGGATAAATCCCTACCAACAGAGAGGTCTTTTTCCAAGGAAAACCAACAAACAAAACTCTTTCTGTTCGTCATTGTTGTGGTCAATATGACTTAACACATTTACCACAAATAGGCCTGATCTACATCTGTATGAAAAGAAATGCTTGAAAACTCCCCACACAAATGAGGGAACTCGTAGAAGAGCCTAAACCTCACACAAATCAAGGTGATAACTGTTAGAAGTGTCACTGCTCTTGACAGAGCACGTACTTAAAACCTTCTGTTGCCTCAGGTGTTTCTCAGAGTTGCTGAGCATTTTATTATGCTCACAACATGCCAAAATACTGTTGATGGGGAAACTTCCCTCACAGCTGAGCAGCACTAGTTCTAACCAAGTTTAGTCCTCTCCAAAAGATCGGTACAGTGCAGTGGACAAGAGGCAGAGCGATGTACAGAGCCACTATCCCCATCCCGGGATCCACTTCATAAAACACGGGGTAATACCATGTTTTAACATCCTTGTGGAGAGCCCATAAGGCTGCTGCAGCCTCAGGTTTGCCCGTGATGGCACTTGCCCTGTGGTTCACTGCAGTGTTTGTTCACTTTGGGTTTTAGGAGCTGTCAGAAGAGAAACAGAAGTTGCTCCAGAAGAGGAAGATGCTCGCAGAAAAGCTGAAAGAAGAAGTTATCAATAAGCGGTAATTTTAAGCAGCTCATTGCAGACCCCAAGAACATGAGTATGTTTTTAGAGTAAGTTACAGAATCAGCAACTGAACGGAGCTGCTTTCCAGTATTACCCTTAGTTTTATAGAACTTTCAGACAAGCACCTCAGTACTTCATGTATATTTAAAATTACACTGAAATACACTAAAAACACGTATTTTCCAGAATGCTGGAAACTCACTTTCACCGGGACACGTTCACCCATTTAACATCATTGCAACACACGGATCAGTTTCTAAACTGCTGGCCTCAACCACTTAATATTATATAGAGCAAAAGCAGATCCCGAGATCTGTTAAAGTAATTCCTACAGGAATAGCTCTGAGTTAGGAATTTTAACTTCTTATTTTTCAAATTAGAGAACTTGGTTCTTCTTATTAGCATACACAGACTGGTTTGGGTTGGAAAGGACCTCAAAGATCATCCAGTTCCAACCCCCTGCCATGGGCACCAAACACCTCGCACCAGACCATGTCACCCGAAGCTCTGTCCAGCTGCTGTTTTTCAGCTGCACAAAGTAATAAAGTCTCATTTCACAAGGAAGTGCAACTACAACCATGTATTTGAGAAAGGTATTTGAGAAAGACAGCTTGGAGTCAAGACATTAACAGAGTAACTCAGGATTACATTGGTTTATGTATTTTTGGGGCAATTTACCAGTCCTTTGTTCCAGTTTTGCTGTAAATGCAGCTGAGTAAAAGTAATTGCTTTAATTGCACAGCTTGGGAGTTTCAAAGTGGAAATCTTTTAAAGTAAATCTTTACTGGTTGGGCTTTGACAGGCGTGGGACAATATCCTCTGCTCAGTGTCACAGCCTGGTTTTGGTTGGAAGGGACCTTAAAGCTCATCCAGTTCCAACCCCCTGCTACAGGCAGGGACACCCTCCACTAGAGCAGGTTGCTCCAAGCCCCGTCCAACCACATCACTGCATAGTTGGCTGCAACACTTAACGCGCATTAAAAGCACAAACTCAACCACTTCAAGTGTCATGTAACTTTTTATTAAAATAGCATTTATAACTGGTACACGTTGGCAGATGTTCTGTTCTTTCCCCAAAAGAGCGGCAGTGGAAGGACCCCAGGCACAGGAGCACAGCTGCCCACAGGCAGAACCCAGCAGCACCAACCAGGCCATGCTGGGAACAGCATCCACGGGGTGGGGGGACAGACCCAGGTGAAAAGGGTGCTGCTGCACCTCGTCTGCTACAGGGATTTGAGGGCTTTTTCTTAAATGGGACATCTAATGCCACTTTACAGTCTTCTAGTAACTATAAAAATTCATTACATTCTTGTTCTTGCTGTAAAAATCCTCATGTTGGTCTGAGTGTGGTTTTAAAGCTCCTGACAGTACTTGAGGGACGAGCTGGGGTGGTGGGGAGCAGAGGAAGGACTAACACGCTTCAGGCAGAGACCCTTGGAGAGCTTGGTTTGGGTGGCAGTGAAAGAGCCTCAGGACAGTTTGGGTCCACAGAGCAGGAGAATACATTTTTCAGCCTCAGGTTAGTAAAGGCACATACACTGCTCGAGGAGCACGTGTGGTGCTGGAAGAAGTTAAATCATCTTTAGAACGGAGAGAAGACTCATCAGGAAGGAAACCAGATGATCACCAACACATGATGATGACGCTGCAGCTCCGCTTTACCAGCAAAGACTTCCTTGGATCTCTGTGTCGGAAGCAATTCATTCCTCGGGTGAAGGAGTCCCATTCCTGGCTGCCTGGAGCCACAAAGGGCACCACCACTGTCCCCAGGTCCACTCATCCATCCAAACGCTTGTGGTTAGCTTATGCGTTGGGAGGAGCTCACACATTCCCTTTGGGATTTCATCTAGTGGTACAGAGTTACTTTTCAAACTGCATGGATAACTAACCTTAACAAATCCTCTAAGATGGCCACATTTAAAATCCAGAGTTAACTTCCCATGTGTAACAAACCAAACCAAAGCAATGCTTCTGGAATTACAGGGTCACATTTTAATTCCTGAATTTTACAGTTCATTAATATCACCACATGTATACAAATGGTGTAAAACAAGTACAGTGGTATTTTTAATACAAAATAAACTTCTGTTTTATGGAAAAAAACTATACTTCATATCTACACGGACAGCCCATCTTTTTCCAAACAATAGCTAAAATTAAAACTAACTACAAAAATCTCCAAAACAGAGAAACTGCTTCAGTTTAAACTATTCCAGGAGAAATGGACCCACAACACACATTACGAGTGATCTATGTGGTGGATTGCAGCTGGTTTTAACATTTCTGACACGTCAGTTGTCGCTGGGGAGCTTCCTCTCACTTCCTCATGATCTCAGATCACACGTGGGCAAACTAACATTGAAGTATTTACAGTTCACTTGCTGCTCTTGGACATAAAACCTGGCCTCTTTGCCTCTAGCCACTCGCCACCAACTCACCTCTGTTTGTCACAGTTTGCTCACCTACGTGGAATGTGCTTTGATGGGTTAAAAAAGCAGCTTTCGTACGACACCCAGGTTCAGGTGCTGCTTGTGGATCCTGCCCCAGCGCCTGGTGTTCCACGAGGAACAATTCCATCTTGGTCCAAAGTGACTTCGGTGTTCACAACGCTGCTCAGCTCCTCGCGGTCACCAAGGCAGCGGTGTTGCCGATGACCACCTCAATTACACCTCACCAACGGGAAAGGGCTCACTGCTCCATGGAGAGACAGCTCACCTCGCATCCCAGCCAGCAATTCCAATCGGGATCCTTCCCACCGCGAAGCCGGCGGCTGGCCGGGTGCGCCGCTGCCGCACCAGCAGCTCCTGGAGGTACTGTGGAAGCGCCTGCTCCTTGGCATGGCTGTTACTGGATGTCGAATTGAAACACCAAGCAAACCCATCTGCCTGGACTCCAGCTTCCGTTCGCTCCTCTTGAAAAACACAAATGAAAACCTTCTTCCGAACTGGTGTGAACAAGTCAGCATGCACTGGAACTGCAGCGTCCCTCCCTCCGGCCAACCTCGAGAAATGCCACTGAACTGCTAAGAAATGGTCCCCAAATCTGGATTGTTCTTCTGCAAACAGTTAGTTTTCCCTTAAGTTTTAAAAGAGGCATTGCTAAAAGAACACAACGGACAGCACCATTACAAAATTAAGATTACCAGGTTTGAAACTGAAGCTTGAATTGTTATTTTTTTTCTCTCCTAGTTCTGTTAAACACTGGGGAAACCCTGCAATAGTATTTAGAAAGTGTTTACACCCCATTCCCTCCCTGCCCTCCCGACACCTGAGCCTTTCCTCGCCGAGGAGCCAGCATCCAGGTTCTCTGAACACCAACCCACTGCTTTTGATTTCATTTTTCACTTTGTTGACAGCCTGAATGGCAGACTCCTGACTTACTAGAAAGATATTCAGTTCCTTGGAAGCTTTGTGTTTACAGAACTAACCCTTTCTAGCTGATACACTGAGTTTCTTTTGCTACTCCTTGTATTACTTATATACTCATGGGAGAAAGCTTTCTGAATCAGATTCCTTTTAGCTCTTAAAACAGTTGCAGCATTTGAAACCCCATAATAAAAAGTTTTTATTCCAAAGTTTTGGTTTCATTTATGAACCCAAACGAGGTCTTTTTCTTGGAGACGCCTCCTCCTCTTCGTCATCATCTTCATCATCAGGATAATCCACGAGGCCAACTAGACTTCCCTGCCGATTCCAGAAAGAAGGAAAAAAAAGAAAATCTCACATTGAAAAGAATACCCAGGAACGAGCAGTTTTAGTACCTAACCCCCACCAACCTGCCCAGGACACCCGTGCCTGCTGCAGAAGGTTTCTTGGTGATGCCTTTTTCATTCCAAGACCCATTTGTCCCGAGAATGTTTCGGAACCTCTGGTTAGAAACTACTGGAACTTCCTTGTGCCTCTGGATCCGGCCTCAAAAAGTGATCTGTAAATAATTCTAAGCTCCCAACTGGACAGACTGAATGTCACCTGCACCCTCACACCCCTTCTGCTGCCGAGTCTTAGGGGGGTGCAATAAAATTTTGACCACACTTTGCTGTAGCCTCTTGGGAGCCAACAGCTGAAGATTAAAGTAACACACGACTGTGTAAGAGGGAATGGAGGGATCACCTACTGTATTTCATCTGCTTAAAAACCCTTATTAATTCCCCAATTTGGCAACGGGGGCACTAACATAATTCACAGAAAGCCCAATCTCACATGTGTATCACACACACAGAGCAGCAACTGCACAGTTAAAAAAGCAAGCAGAGGGCAGTATGCAGAGGATGTGGAATTAAACTGTGCCTACCAGAACACCAACAGTCTCCAGTCCCACCTAATACTTTCTTAAACCTTCCCCCAAACTAGCAATGGTTTAACTAGACAGGACTTTGGATGAATTCATATACAAAAAGAATTACAGAATCCCAGAATGGTTTGGGTTGAAGGGACCTTAAAGCTCCTCCAGCTCCAACCCCTGCCACGGGCAGGGACACCTT